TTTAACCCAAAACAGCAGTGCGTAGAAACTGGAAATTATTGTACCTTAAGAGGTGTTTTATGTCGAGTTTGATTTTCAAGATTAACTGTTTAACAGCCGAAAGGTTGTTTCGGCAGATAAAACCTTTCATAACTTTTTCAGAAAAACGTTTTGTAGATAAGGAAGAGGGATTTTGAATCAGTGTTTTAAACTGCATCCGACAGTATGTATCTCTTTTTGAATTGCCCCATCAACCAAGTACATGCCTTCCGTAATCAGTGAAATTATTGAAGAATTTGAGGTGCCAAAGAATGGCTCTCGCTCCAAAGTATGCAAAAATTTTCATGGCAGATTGAAGTTCCGCAAGTTAAACTAAGAAAACCTACTTCTAACATCAGATTGGAGAGGTCCTTTCCACATTTGCAATTATCAACAAGATTCTTATTACGAAGAAAATAAATCTAAGTAACTTTTGCAACCATCAACTATACGCGATCTCAGCTCTACCTTATCGTCATACAACCGTAATCTTCAAATACATAGTATAGAAGATTGATTCCTCTTGAACTATTAACAATTCGCTAAATATGATGATTTCTATTCTCATGTAAAACTAACTTTATTTTTTATTCTATTTTCCATCCTCATACATGTAAACACGCCTAACTAACGCATTTAATTTAGACTTTCTACGAGAATGCAGGATTTGATAAGCCTGCTTTGCATCCTGTTCAAGAGAGATTTGTTTCTAGTTATGAAGAATTCATGGCTAATTTTCACAATCTGTTGGAGCACAACAGTAAAACAGTTACCATCGCAGTGGCTGGTGAGTTGAAAACAATTTCAAATGAGAGATGGTAGTGATTAAAGCAATCGAAATTTGGTACCCGTACAATCCGAATAGGCATAAGAAAAAGCGAGATTTAAGAAGACTTGTTATTAATGATCGATTAAATGTGGCCTAAAACCCAAAATAAGACACAGTTTGAGCTTAGTTAATTATGTAAAGTGTAGACATAATTACAACGTCAAAGGACTTCAAGTTTGAGTGAAAAGAAATTAGAAATACTCAAGGGTAACTTTGATTTTAAGATTTCTGAATACTGCCATTATTATTAAGTTTCAGAAAAAAATGTCCATTTTTATTGAGTATTTCTATATTTTCCTTCATTTCAGCCCATTCCGCTCGAGCTGTCAGTTTCGAAAACATCAAAAAACTTTATGAGATGGCTATTGAGAAAGGCATTGCATTCCACATACACGTAGAAGAGCAACCAAAAGAAATCGAGGATTGCATGAGATTCCTCGGGGAAAGGAGGGTGCGTTGGCAAAAAAATAAATTCAATTTTTTTTAAATATAGAAAAGTCAGAGCTATAAAACAGACATGTCTGCAGTATATCTAAGTTTATGAAGCGTCTAAGATTATTAGAATACAAAAATATTTTATAATGCTCAAGGATTTGAAAATACAGAAAATGTTTGCTACGTTTTGTAATTTTGTCCTTTTTCTAAACTAAAGATCTTCCCGTTAAATATAACTTGATGCCT